TCCGTAAGGGATGCGTATATGTATTAATTTTTATTTCTTGTCAGATTTAATTTAGTTTTCTTTCACCCTTTATTTCTCTGGTTTTCAATACTTTTTTTCTTACTTTTTCTATTTCTCTGCTTCTTCTTTGTTTATTTTTTTTCTTTCATTTTTCCTATTTATCTTTTCTTTTCTATCATTTTTATTCTCTTCTTTCGTTTTCTTTCTTTAAAATTACATTTCGTTTTATTTATTTCTCTTCTTATCTTTCTGATTATTTTTAATTCCAGCTCTGTTTTTCTCCAAATTTCAACAATCCCTAAATTAACACAATCGCTTTCACTTTCTTTAATCTTTACGTCGTTTTTTTTTCTTTCTCTTCTCTTCCTTCTTCCTCATGTTTGCCCCTATTAGTAATCTATCCCCTCCAGCTTTTCACTTTCCAGCCATCGCTTACATCTTAATATCACATTTTATCACACAAGTATCCCCTCTTCTGACACGCCTTCCTCTTAAGAAAGCCATTTTCCACTTGGCTCGAAAGCCACCTATCTACACCGTCACCCAATATCTAACTCCTGCAAATCGCTTCTACACTTGGCCTTTACCTTTAACAAAAATCCTACCCACCTTCCTGTTGTCATCTTATTTTACAGAATGATGCTGCGAAAGTGCTAAAATATATAGACCTGTAATAATAATAGAACGTAAATCACGGATAGGAGATTTGGTGTCAGAGTGGGGGACATTCTGTAGCTGTCGGCAGATATCAAGAAGTTCGACTAATTCTCTCAAATCTACCAATAACATTGCTTTGTACAACAACTGAAGCAACAACAAGGACACACGAATCAATAAAATTAGTCAGAGGAATAAGATTTGTTGTAAAGAAGAACAGTAGAAATTGATAAACAAAAGTCAACAAGGGAGGGGGAAGACGCATTGTAAGACAGAAATGGAGAAAAAAGAAAATTAAGGAAGATGAGAGAAGAACAAGGAGGAATTCAAAAGGAAAGAATAAAAAAGAGAACGATGGAATATCAAGGTAGAAAAATAAAAAACAGAGAGAAGAGATGGCGGAAGAATATGAAATAGAAGTGGGAGGAAAAGGAAGATAAAAAAATCGACACGAAGGTTTAAAATAAGAATCAGAAAAAAGCTCGTCCTATATTGTATTCTGTGTAACCATTTTTACGTTTCGTTGATTTTTTTTAATTCCCTTGGCTATACTGATCATCAGTAGACATGTCTCCATTTGTTTAATTTTTTAGGCGTGCTTTCTTTTTTTTTTTTTTCTTTTTTTCTTTTTTTTTCCTCCATGATCATAACTGGGACTACCTATGGTAACCTCTTCATCATTCGTTTTTCTCCTACAGATAAACCCAGAGCCAAGGAATGCGAGAAATGAGCCTGAAAAATGTAACAAGGGGCGATAACAATTAAATATTGAAAATGAAAGGATAGTGAGGTAAATTATTTTAAATTGACCTATTTTTTTTAAAAGTTAATATAAACCGTCTATGAAAATATATGGATTTCCAAAAAATAATCTTATCCTTACTTATGAGTACGTTTTTACTTTGTTTATTTGATATTTAATATATAAAGTATCAATTATTAGCTTAAATATAAGAACGGGAATATTGCATGATAATAAATATTGGCTAATCTGGTCAATATTGGCTGCTCTCGTCTCCAAAATTCTCTCCTTGTTGAGCTATGTAATTCAGCAGATGATCGTTCCTTTGAAGCCCGGATTCTGGAGTATCTTTCAAGAGATCGCATAGCTGAATCACACCGGAAATATGAAAAGAATAATGCTGGTTCATTAAAGACATTTGGACAAGGAATGTGAGATGTTCAGTATGATATCGGAAAGAGCAATACAAATGCAAAAGATCTATATATATATATATATATATATATATATATTTTTAAAGATTATACAAACGTTTAAAAAATTACGTAACAAAGGACTGCTTGAGGTATTAGGTAACCATGGCATACGTGGTAAGGATGTTACAATTACCTATATTGGCAACAAACCACCTGCATACGGATAGGAATGAAATTTAGTAAATACACAAAAATAAAAAGAGATGAAAGACAAGGATATGTCTTAGCACCACACCTATTCAAGATATACAGAGGAGCCATTCTGAAAGAATTAGAAATCCTAACACGATTCGTCATTGGCGGCCACAATCTTAACAACGTAAGATATGCAGATGACACAGTATTGATAACAAACACAGAAAGGAAACGACAATATCTCCTACAGAAGGAAATCAAGACGAAAGTACTAAACATCATTTGCAAATACATGTTTGTTAGCAAAAGGTACAGCCCAGGATGGACATTATAATTTGGAGATATCAAAATCACAGAGATGCAAGTATTTAGATATCTGGAAAGCGTATTAATAGAGGAAGGCAAGTTCGACAGGGAAATCCGAAGGCGCACTGGGATAGATTCCAAATGCTGAGCAAATGTTAAGAAACAAAAAAAAATCAAATCAAAGAAAAGAGTACTGAACGATTACGCAATATCACTTCTCCTATATGACAGTTGATGCTAAACAATCTCCTCGCTGATGAAGAGGAGCCTTGAAGCAACAGAAACTTGCTTCTACAGAAGGATGCTGAATAATAAAAGGGACCAAACATGTGAGCAACGGCGAAATTCTAGAGATAGAGAATACATATTTTGAAAAATTTGAAATTTCTAGTGCACATAATGAGAAAAGAAGGCTAAGAAATTTGATACACATAGGACAAATTGAGGGTAAGAGAGATAGAGAGATAGAAAAGAGCTACGAATAACCTACCTGGTGAGCTTGGATGGATAGATGACGGAGATGAGTTTTGGAAGAGATGGTAAAAAGACAAAATATTTTATGAGCTAACAAGGACAAGAAAATGTGGAGAGCCATGATCGCCAACATCCTGAAAAGAAAACGGCACATAGAAAAAGACGAATTTAAGATGTATATTTTAAAGGCATTTGACAATTTTGGAAAAATCTGATGAATAATATTACCAATTTTTGTCAGAAATTTCAGTGAGAAATTCGCGAAATCTTAATGATCCATGAACAGGGATATTCTCATGTTGTAGAATCTAAATTTCTGTGCTGCTTACGTGTTTTCTCTCCGTCAAGTAGATTCTCTTTACTATTTTAGCCGTTCGAAATAACCATGTGCGTTTGTTATAACAAATTTAGTATAGGAAATAAGAAAATTAATCATAGATTGTGTTTCGCCAAACACCGCAAATTGCTTTAAAATTAAACAATGATCCTGAAAACAAGAATTAGGTTCTTAAATGATGTTGATCAACGATTCCAGATTCCTTTCATTCACTTACTGTTAATAGTAAATGAGCACGTATATCTTCCTTTACTGTTCGGTACTGAATGACTTGGGACAAAGCCCTAGGTTCTCTGATAAAAATATTAACCTGATTATCCCAGCGACATACTATTATGATTCCATGAATTGAATTTTCACATCTACAGTATATTTCATACTCAATGCATAAATCGTTTCTTTTTTCTTCTTTTAATTAAATAGCCAATTTCACTAAATCAACACTCATATCCAGAATTGATCTAAGTTAAAATAGTATGTTTCATATACATTATAATAAGTTTGAATTTTAAGTTTGTGCTTATCTTCTATTAGGCGAAATGGGGCATTGCAGGCAGATTACATTAATGTAGAGATAAAAATTATAACGTAATTGATGTTTTTAGTAAAAGCAACTAAACAATTATATTATGGGAAGGTTATTTACAGTTTACCGAAAATAGGTTTGTAAAAAGTTTTATTTGGTTACCCAAAGTATCATTGGTTTGTCTTGTTTAAACTAGAATTCTACATTAAGTCTGTTATAAAGTCTTTTACGCTGTTTAAATATCTGGATATTCTGTTGTATTCATGAACAGTGAGAATAAATACTTTAAATAAAGGAGAAATTCATTACGTATACCTTGGGTGCGGTAAGTATGAAATAGATATAATATTATAATATAATAAGTTTATATATTTATATATAATGAAATCGAGATATATTTATAGTCGTTGTTAAGAAGAACGACTATGTCGTTATAACTACATTAAACACATATTATGTTTTGAAATTATATTTAATTTCTATGGACCTTTGGAAGATAAAACTAAGAAGATAAAATCAGTTTTCTTAGAAATAGGGCGAATAATGAAGCCTTGATTGAAAAGACGAACACGGGAAGAATTATGAACATTCTGTAATAAGATATGTCGAAATGAACAGAATTATTAAAAAGGACGCTGAGTGGATTAAAAATACTCAAAATAAGTGCAAAGAAATCGGGGAAAATAAATGAAACAAGATAGGAATTAAGGACGTAGAAGCTTTCATATATTCACAAATAAACTAAAAAGTCGCCAGATATAAATTAAATACATAATTTTTGGCGCAATAAATGTCTATTTATATACAAACATTTAGCAAATCTATTCTGTTATTGTCTGTCATCAGCAATCCAGAAACAATTCAAAATGGTTGACACAAAATCATTACATATTTAATCTCTCCCCCAATAGACAACAAAACTAGCTTCCAAAATTATTGATATATAAACTTCTTTTTCCACGGCTTGTAAACTGCTAACATCAATTATAGCGAAAAGAACAGATTAGTTAGACGTCAGTAGATTTCTCCCTTAAGAACAAAGAGGAATGCACGAAATGTTGCAAAGATCAACTAATGGACCATCAGATGTTACTATAAAACTGTATTTCAAATAATAGAAACATAAGCATTGAATAGACTGTAAATATCATGTTCCATGTGTCTGCATCATAAACACATGAAGATTAATGGAAATTATTCCTAAAACTTCAGTAGGAAAAAACTGAAAACTAATCCTAATGGCGAAATCAAATATGACAGAGATCAATAAATGAATATTGTAATAATATTCCTTTTCGTCGATACTGTATTAATACACCTATCAAATGTAATAATCCAACCTATAGT